GTATGTGGTGATCATGTCTCCCCTAGCTCTTCTGTCTTCCAGCGACGTGAGGTGCAGTTCGCGCAGGCTTTTTCTCGTAACTCATGCCTCTTAGTTCTGGGACTAGCCTAGTGTCATACCTCTGAACTTTTTCCAGTTTCGTCTTCTGCTTGACAAGGTACGGGCTCCATGCTGGGGCCGCATACTCCATGATTGGCCTTACATACTTGGTATACAAGGTTCTGAAAGATTCCTTACACAGGTTCGTGAAGACAGTTCTGATGTTAGCCAGCCTCGCATACGCCGCCGATATTATTATTTTGATATAGGCTTCATGAGACAGGTTTGGCGTGATATCAACTCCTAGATCTTTCTCTCTGTCCGTTTCGTGAAGAACTTCCTCTCCCATTCGATATCTAGTGTCTGGCCTCCTATTTCCTCCGCCTAGTTTCATTACCTTACATTTATTTGGGTTGAACTTTAGTAGTCATTTGTTGGACCATTCCTTCAGTTTGTCTATGTCATCTTGTAGCCTCTTACTATCTTCCTCTGTCTTGATCCTCCTCATAATTTGTTCATCATCAACAAACATTGAGAGGAACGAATCTATTCCCTCTGGGAGATCATTTACGTATATCAGAAACAGTATAGGTCCAAGGACTGATCTCTGTGGGACTCCACTGGTGACGCCTCGCCAGCCCGAGACCTCACCCCTCACAGTGACTGGCTGTCTTTTGTCCCTTATCCAGTGGAGTACCTTCCCTTTCACTCCTGCCTGCATTTCCAGCTTGTGCACTAGTCTCTTATGTGGTAGTGTCAAAGACATAGGTAGTGTCAATGGCACACGCTTTTGTGCCTTTGTGCACAAAAGCACAATGGCAAAGGCACAAAAGCACACAGTGGATTGAGTGTGTGTGTGTGTGTGTGTGTGTGTGTGTGTGTGTGTGTGTGTGTGTGTGTGTGTGTGTGTGTGTGTGTGTGTGTGTGCGTGTGAATGGGTACGTCTATGATTTCATCCTAATTAGTCATCTGGTATTAATGGTGGGGGCCGAGCCAGTATTTGCCACTGGCAGGCGATTTACTTTAAAGATCGTGAAACCAAGATATAATACAGCGGAGTATATCGCAAAATTGAGCACGGTGAAGTATATTGGGGAAACAGGGGGATCTTAGTGGACAGCCCCGTCTTGGCTGTTCGCATCTCGCCTCGCAAGTTCCCCGGCCTTGGAGGAGACAGGTTGAAGAAGGTCGGTCAGGTAGCAAGTCCGTTTGATCTGACTCTCTCATCTTCTTAACCTGATTTACTGTTTACAGACAATATATCAAGCCGAAAGAAGTGTATTATAACTTGCTGTTCATCTTGAGTTTATTATGTACATTCTGTACATAATAAACTCTTATGTTTATAAATGTATATGTATATAAACTAATATTATGTGCTTAACCTATGATAGACGTTTGTTGCAATTCTTTAACTCAGTCCACGAGGTTGAACCATTCCACAAACTAAGCTAGACAAACTTAATGTAAACTGGTCTAGCTTGACCAATACGATTCTATGATAATGATATAAATAAAACGATCATCTGATACTTGATCATAGACAAATATAAAGTAAATTGGTATAACAAAACAATTTGGGACATTCAACACTTATATTTTTCCACAAACCAACAAAATGGACGCAACAAAGAAACAACCTGGCAAGTGACAACAACAAAAATTGATGATTTACAAAATAGCATGATTATATTTATATTCACTACACTTCAGTCTATATTGACTGCCCGAAACGCTTTGCGTAATAGTGGCTTTAGGCATTGTATGTACGAGCTCTATCTATAAAGCCAACAAACTTTGTAAAATCTCTTTATGTATGTACCTTTACCTAAATAAAAATTATTATTATTATTATTATTATTATTATTATTATACTTTGCAAGGAAAACAAAAACATAAGAAAATTTGCATTAGGCCTACTTTCCAAATCGACATAGATTCTTAGAACATCCCATAATTGTTCCAGTTCATTATGTCTCTCATCTATATACAAAATAGAATATCTGGGGGTAGGGGGTGACCCGGGCACCACTTGGTACCCTATCTAATACTTATAGAAAACTTGCTGTCATCCCCTGACAACTCATAGCTCAGAGGGGAGAATTGTCCACATTTAAGATAATGTCGTGTTTGCCATTGGCAGGGTGCAGGTTCTCCGGCCTCGGACAGGGAGGAACCTGTTAGCCCCCAACGGAAGGCGAAATTGAGGTAGTCGAGCCGACCTGGAAGGTCACACAGGAGAGAGAAACAGGTTGAGAATTATGGCAAGCTTGAGAACCTAATTTTTTGTATTCGACAAAGACCCTAATTGAGCTTTGTGATTATATGTTTGCGAGCCTTGATGAGGGGATGATTGAGAAGAAGGAGAAGGAGGATGGGGAGAAAAACACAGAGGAAGAGACCGGTCTTGTAGACACTATAATGAGAGACTAACAGCAGGTAACACGAGCATTTATAGTGTATTTACTGCAGGAGAATTGCCAAGGTTTCCTGGATATGTTGACGTGTGTGGTGTTGGGGGGGGGGGTAAGGGTGCAGACGCGCTGGAACCATGTCAATATGCAACCAGATTAATGAGGGAGCCACTTTGTTTGAGTTACGATACCCACCAATTTGTGAGATGCAGTGTGCTTGAAACGTATATATGAGTGATGGTCTCAGGAAGATATTTGGGTAACATCCACCTTCTACAGAATTGTGAGTTAAGGTTTCCATTAGAAATTTGTCAGATACAATTTCCCATTTGTGTTTCATTACTTACTGCCCAAAGTAAAGATCTGTGAGCTACTGTCCAAAGTGAAGATCTGTGTGCTACTGCCCAAAGTAAAGATCTGTGAGCTACTGCCCAAAGTAAAGATCTGTGAGCTACTGCCCAAGTTAAAGATCTGTGAGCTACTGCGCAGAGTAAAAGTTTGTGAGTTACAGTACCTCCCCCCCCCCACTACACTTAATATCTCAATAAACAAGCACAATTTACTGACATTTTTAATATTTTTTCCTTCGTTCTTAAACTATTAGTATTTTCTTGAGATACTGCATTAAACTCTTAATATGAAATAACCCCATAGAAATGAAAATCAATTATGAGAACAAGGGAAAAAGACATATTTCAGGTAACTTGCGAGTATTGTATACTAGAGCTTAATCAGCGTTGCTACCTACTGCTGCAATGGGTGTTTCAGTCCCACCTCCTGGACTCGAATTGTCGGTGTTTCAGTCCAATCTCCCGGACAGGCCCCCAATTATTTTTTCAGAGGGGAGGGGTTGTTATATAATGAAACTTGGTTATTTGAACCAACCTGATATTTGCTTACTTGTTTGAGAAGTAGATAATAATGTATTTAAGCTAAATCTACAATATAATATGCTTTTGAATCATATGTATTGAACATTTAATGACACTTTAACATTAAATAATACATAAATTTTCGAGATAGCACAAATCTTATGCATTGTTAGATATATTTAACTGCAGCATAATTGCAGAGCAACAGAGCCACAATATGAAGTTAGAGGGAGGAGTGCATTGGGCAACTCAGGAGAAAGATTCCTAGTGTCTGATCCTGCCAGGAGTGCAGTAGATGGCTGGGAAAAAGAGAAATGACATGTATCGGCAGGCTCGTGGGGACGGTGGGAGATGGAAGATGAAAGGAAGGAGAAGATGGAAGGCAGACAGGCAGGGCACCATCCTTGACCTAGCCTTGAAAATCCCTGTCTAGTGCGATGCTTCCTGCGATCCGGATGTTCACACTTCCTCTCGTCTCATGTCTGGTACACTCGATCTTCTGTTGTTCCTCCTGGGTGTGTAGTGGGTTCCTGTTGTTCCTCCTGGGTGTGTAGTGGGTTCCTGTTGTTCCTAATGAGTGTGTGGTGGGGTCATGTTGTCCCTCCTGGGTGTGTAGTGGGTTCCTGTTGTCCCTCCTGGGTGTGTAGTGGGTTCCTGTTGTCCCTCCTGGGTGTGTAGTGGGTTCCTGTTGTCCCTCCTGGGTGTGTAGTGGGTTCCTGTTGTCCCTCCTGGGTGTGTAGTGGGTTCCCGTTGTCCCTCCTGGGTGTGTAGTGGGTTCCTGTTTTGTCCCGATAAAAGTACACAATCCGTGTTCCGATAAAGCTACACCTTCCGTGTCCCGGCAAAAATACACCTTCCGTATCCCGATAAAGCTACACCTTCCGTATCCCGATAAAGCTACACCTTCCGTGTCCCGATAAAGCCTCTGTCTTGCCCTCGCTGTGCTAAACAAGCTTACCATCTCACACGATAAAGCTTCACCTTTAACATTAACAACAGGAAGTTTAGCTACTACACCTGCGTGTTTCTTGTTCAACATTAACCTCGAGGTCCAGTTTTTTTTGGCCCTGAGTAGAGGGGGACCAATTAATTCCGTATCACCAATCAAGTGTTTAACGGAGAGAGGATGTGAGGGAGTGTGTGAGTGGTGGAAACTGTCGGAGTGTGTGTCGGTGTGTCGGTGACAGCTGTTTGAAGGAGTGTGTATGTGTGAGGGTGACATTTGTCTGAAGGAGTGTGCGTGAAGGTCGTATCTGCCTGAGGGGATTAGATAACTTAACATGTAATCGTTAATTTATCACTACTAAGAGCGAGTGTAATACTGAACTATTATGAGTCGCTTGGCCTCAAACATTGTATTAACTGTAACCTTTGTTTTTGTAACCTCACTATCCCAAAAGATGTCGCTCCTGAAATGGAGTATTTAGATAACCACATATCTCATATTGCTCTTAAGACGATATCATCTGAAATATGCCTTAGACCAATAGGTGAAGAAATATGACAGTTCTATATAGAAATGATAATGTGATGTGATAGCTTTATTTAAACCTCGGTGAAGTAACCTGATAGTTATTTTTAAAGCTATGTAGAGACCTGATAGCTCTAGTTAGAACTAGGTGAAGTTACTTAATAATTCCATTTACAGCTAGATAAAGTAATCTTATAGTTCGATTTAAAATTTGGATATATGACCTGATAGTTCTATCAGAGCTAGATTACGTGGCGAAAGTGGATGGTCGTGCTGAAGGTGGATGGTCGTGCTGAAGGTGGATGGTCGTGCTGAAGGTGGATGGTCGTGCTGAAGGTGGATGGTCGTGCTGATGGTGGATGGTCGTGCTGATGGTGGATGGTCGTGCTGATGGTGGATGGTCGTGCTGAAGGTGGATGGTCGTGCTGAAGGTGGATGGTCGTGCTGAAGGTGGATGGTCGTGCTGAAGGTGGATGGTCGTGCTGAAGGTGGATGGTCGTGCTGAAGGTGGATGGTCGTGCTGAAGGTGGATGGTCGTGCTGAAGGTGGATGGTCGTGCTGATGGTGGATGGTCGTGCTGATGGTGGATGGTCGTGCTGAAGGTGGATGGTCGTGCTGAAGGTGGATGGTCGTGCTGATGGTGGATGGTCGTGCTGATGGTGGATGGTCGTGCTGAAGGTGGATATTCGTGCTGAAGGTGGATGGTCGTGCTGAAGGTGGATGGTCGTGCTGAAGGTGGATGGTCGTGCTGAAGGTGGATATTCGTGCTGAAGGTGGATGGTCGTGCTGAAGGTGGATGGTCGTGCTGAAGGTGGATGGTCGTGCTGAAGGTGGATGGTCGTGCTGAAGGTGGATGGTCGTGCTGATGGTGGATGGTCGTGCTGAAGGTGGATGGTCGTGCTGAAGGTGGATGGTCGTGCTGATGGTGGATGGTCGTGCTGATGGTGGATGGTCGTGCTGATGGTGGATGGTCGTGCTGAAGGTGGATGGTCGTGCTGATGGTGGATATTCGTGCTGAAGGTGGATGGTCGTGCTGAAGGTGGATGGTCGTGCTGAAGGTGGATGGTCGTGCTGAAGGTGGATGGTCGTGCTGAAGGTGGATGGTCGTGCTGAAGGTGGATGGTCGTGCTGAAGGTGGATGGTCGTGCTGAAGGTGGATGGTCGTGCTGATGGTGGATGGTCGTGCTGAAGGTGGATGGTCGTGCTGATGGTGGATATTCGTGCTGAAGGTGGATGGTCGTGCTGAAGATGAATGGTCGTGCTGATGGTGGATATTCGTGCTGAAGGTGGATGGTCGTGCTGAAGGTGGATGGTCGTGCTGAAGGTGGATGGTCGTGCTGAAGGTGGATGGTCGTGCTGAAGGTGGATGGTCGTGCTGAAGGTGGATATTCGTGCTGAAGATGAATGGTCGTGCTTAAGGCGGATGTTCGGGCTGAATATGGATGGTCGTGCAGGAAGGAGATGGTCGTGCAGGAAGGAGATGGTCGTGCAGGAAGGTGGATGGTCGTGCAGGAAGGTGGATGGTCGTGCAGGAAGGTGGATGGTCGTGCAGGAAGGAGATGGTCGTGCAGGAAGGTGGATGGTCGTGCAGGAAGGTGGATGGTCGTGCAGGAAGGAGATGGTCGTGCAGGAAGGTGGATGGTCGTGCAGGAAGGTGGATGGTCGTGCAGGAAGGTGGATGTTCGTGCTGAAGGCGGATGTTCGTGCTCAAGGTGGATGGTCGTGCTGAAGATGGATGGTCGTGCTTAAGGCGGATGTTCGTACTGAAGGTGGATGGTCGTGCAGGAAGGAGATGGTCGTGCAGAAAGGAGATGGTCGTGCAGAAAGCGGATGCCCGTGATGTTATTTCACAACAAGGAGCTGCCTGCCTTCTGCACACTTCTGCTCTTTTTAAAGTCAATACGACGTACGGCCAGAGTTTACCAAAGGCTTGCCACAACAGACCGGATCCTCCGTCAATTCCTTATAAATATAACACGTATGTTGGGACTACATTTTTTGGGGGGGCGTTCAATTCATAATTGAAAAAATAAGACTTAAAAATATAATCGCCTTTTACAAGATATATGTGAAAGATGTTACAATTAAATGCTATGCAAAATCTGCATATGTGTGTGAAGTGCTAAAGGAACGTTGAACACTCAACATTTCATTAACCAGATCTGTCATGGAGAACTGTCATTAGATAGAATCATATACAAAGTGAAAAGACTGTTTAATGGTCCAGTCAGATTATCTTACATACACTCTCTAATACATACTCTGGTATGTATTAGATAGTCTCAATATGTATCTAGTATGTATCTCAGTCTCAGTACATAGAAACTGGGGATACTCTGGTGTGGACTTCTCTCTAATACAACAGAGATATGGCTGCTCTGTTTGTATTTCACAACGCCCATATAATACGTATTTCCATACTTGCTATTTAGTATTACTTAAGTTCGGTTCTTATTATATCGAGTTTCCTTTCCTTTCATTTGCCTTCTGTTTTTTTACCTGGCGTTTATAGTGCGATAACATTTAGTTTCTCTACAAATGCCTCAAGAATAAACCAGGGAACAAGCGGTGACACATTTGACTACCAGATAGACGTTTCCTCTGCAGGACGATAGCAGTGTCCACGCTCATATCACCAGAAATACACACAATGTTCACAACATTACTTGGCAACAAACCAGCAGTCAGAACATACACCCACTTCTACATTTCATGAATCTTGTAAGCGAAAGATTACAGTGTCATAATATGGTATTCAATATGTTTCAAGTATACTCGCTGTTTTAGCTTCCAACAGTACTCGAAATAATCAAATAACACAAAGGACTAAAAACAACTAACAAAGATACTGGTAATAATAATAAAAATATAAATAATAATAATATTTATTATTATTATTGTTATTATTATTGTTATTGATAACAATAATAACAACAATAATAAGGAATAAATAAGTAACTAAATTCAGAATTCCTTCAGAGGAATTATCTGATCGTGGACCTTGATACTGCCGCCCCGGCTGGATACTGTACGACAACTTTGCAAGAGCTTCCGGCAGCCGTCCAGGAGAGTAACGTACGAAACATGTACCGCCAGTCAGCTGGCAGACGCGAGAAGGGGTAGACCCCGTGAGCGTGTGTCGGGAAGCCGTAAGACACGGGGCCATCGCTCTTCTGTTAATTTTGAGGACGAGAGACTTAAATGTCACATTTTCTGGAGGGACACCGAGGGAGCTTTGTATTGTGTACTGCGAGTGTTAACATACGTAACTCGTTTGAAATCATTTCAAATTCTGTTTCTTGTACGTGCAGGATTGTTAGTTGTAGTAATGACTCTAGGTGATGGTATTAATGCTATGGTCACTAAGAGCCTTATGGCAATTCATACTTTATGATTGATTGGACACTGAAAACGAGAGCATTTACCCGAGATCAATTTTCTTAACTAAAGTGGGTGTTGACTTCTCAAATTATTTCCAAGACAATAATACCATGTTGTATTAAATATAAGTACGATATTTACAATCAATGTGCCTAGCATTCACATTAATGCAAATATATTCTGGTGATTATAAATGACAGTACATTGTTATAAGTTTCTCTGGTTTGGTTTGTAAAATAAAAGTTATTTACCAACAATAGTCTCATAGTATATTAAACAAACTGTTATTGCATGTAGAGCAGACGACTTTGACCCTTACAAGCAGAGTGGTTGTATGGAAGTCAGTCGTCAGCACTGTTGTATATATTTACCAAAAATTAAACTCATGACTAGATAAATATGGTTAGTTAGATACAATAAGTTTTTTTTAGCGAGAACTAACGTAGAAACCTGATCTAAATAAAATATGCCTATTGTTCCATAACAATGAATAACGAGGTAAATATAAGTCTAAATTTATTAGAAATTAGTTTAACCAATGTAATATGTTAATTAGGTGAAGAGCAATTTTTTTTATTTTTATATATATAAAAAACTTACTTTGGCTATTAAGCTTATTAAGCCTAAATGTGCAGTTATGGATATTAGTTACGACATATATGAACAATACGACTATTACTATTTATATATACTTAACATATTCTTGATAATATTTTGATCAAGCACTCTAAATTCTGAATGATTTTGAAAGCAACTTGTTACAATACTAATTCATTTCTAGTGACGAACGAGGGTCGCTGGATTAAAGGCAGAGCCTAATGCACCTGCTGCTAGTGATGAACTAGCAGAAAGTAGTGTATGTGCAATTGCTGGGAGGACCTGCTTGTTGGTAGCGAAAGAGAACTGTTGAATTGTGTCTGGTGACTTCAACGCACTATAGAGAATGATCTAGAGGTGACTTCAACGCACTGTGGAAAGTAATCTAGAGGTGACTTCAACGCACTGTAGAGAGTGATCTAGACGTGACCAACGCACTGTAGAGAGTAATCTAGAGGTGACTTCAACGCACCATAATTTAGGGAAGAACATTTTTAAATGCTGTATTTTCATTATGGGCGCAGTGATTGATATATATTGGTATTCTACGAGCAAATATTGGCATGAGTTGTGACTATCGAAAGACTCGTATGATGGTGCCAACAGTTAGCGAAGACTGAACATGTCATCAACGCCCCCAGCTCGTCGACGGGTCAACCCGGTGGTGACTGTGCGTCGTGCGCAGAGCGAACGACGCTATCTGAGCCCTTGGCAGGCCTCGTGCCCCGCGGGGCCCCAGCACCACACCTGCCCCGCAGGGCACCCGTTCCCCGCCTGCCCCGCTGGGCACACGAACCTGTCGTTCCTTCATCAAGGTCCCCGGGGCCCATCAGGATGGTCCCGTGTTGATCTTCACCACTACGCGCCACGCACCGCCTTCATACCCCCTGCCCACCCGCGACCATATCCTCCACGTATGGTAGGACAGTCGCCGATCCTGCTGGGTGGTGCGCTGGACCTATGGGGGTCCATGCGATACCGCCCTTTGCCACCCATATCTCACGCCCAGCTGCCGCCCCTCGCACTGGGGTCGCGGCCCCTTGCACCGCCTTCCCCCATGGTGTTGCCGACCGTGACCCTGGAGGAGAGGCTGGCACAGGACAGACTTGCGGCATTCCTGGCGGGGGAATCATCACCTCATCGACCAAGGTCTATTCTTTCCTGTCCAGGTAAGTTACCGTGTTTTATTCCATCTGTCCACTTGAGTTACATTTCCCATTCTGTTCCACTTAAGTTACATCTCCCATTCTGAATTACCCGACGCGTCTATTTTGTCCAGTTGAGTTATTCATTGTTGTGGTGTTCTTCTATTCTCTCCCAGCTCACTCGCTCGTAAAAGACTTCTTGGAGTGACTCGCTGAAATTATACAGACAATTGCATGCCATAGGAATACCGCGCAGCGACTCACGTTCAGCTCGATAAGTCACAGCTTCACCCTAGCAGTGTGCTGCGTCACATACGGAGGGGTGAATCCTAGGGTTGTGCTGCGTCTCAGATGGAAAAGTCCAATCTAAATCTGTGCTTCAAGACACGGACAGTATGTTTCACCCCTAAGGCTCGGCCTTCAGGCATGGACAGAGGAGTTACCCTAGGTCTGTCCTTCAAGTAACAAACAATCTAAGTTTGTGCTTCGTTGCGAACAGAGAGTTTCAGCCTCGGTTTGTTTCTGCTTGTCACGACCAGAGTGTCGAATCCTTGGTCTGTGATGCATCACATGTGAATGCACGAACATTACAACAATTGTCCATCTCATGAACAGTAGGAACTATGTTTCTGGGTCATACAGGGTACAAGAAGGCTCAGAGGCTGCGGTTCACGACGTAGGCTCCATCTTGACGTTGGACAAGGTAATTGGCAAGACAATAGAGTAGTCAGTAATATCGAGTCACGAGGCGCTTAAGAGGAAGTGTCTTAAAGTAATTTGCAAGATATTGGCACAGATGACAGCAAAATGTCAAAAAGGTCATCTGTCGCTAGCTCTGTTATCCATTCATTAATATATATATATATATATATATATATATATATATATATATATATATATATATATATATATATATATATATATATATATATATATATATATGTCGTACCTAGTAGCCAGAATGCACTTCTCGGCCTACTATGCAAGGCCCGATTTGCCTAATAAGCTAAGTTTTCCTGAATTAATATATTTTCTCTAATTTTTTTCTTATGAAATGATAAAACTACCCATTTCATTACGTATGAGGTCAATTTTTTTTATTGGAGTTAAAATTAACGTAGATATATGACCGAACCTAACCAACCCTACCTAACCTAACCTAACCTATCTTTATAGGTTAGGTTAGGTTAGGTAGCCGAAAATGTTAGGTTAGGTTAGGTTAGGTAGGTTAGGTAGTCGAAAAACAATTAATTCATGAAAACTTGGCTTATTAGGCAAATCGGGCCTTGCATAGCAGGCTGAGAAGTGCGTTCTGGCTACTAGGTACGACATATGTATATATATATATATATATATATATATATATATATATATATATATATATATATATATATATATAATATATATATATAATATTACTTTTAAAATATTCTGGATTTCCTTCTAATGTTCATACATACCTCATTCAAACATGTATTCTACAATAACAGATGTGTCAGCACCGTACAAGCATGTTAAGATTATATTTTCATCTTGATGAAGCGAAATGTACACTTTAAACTTAACCAAATGAACACAATAAACATTCAGCCATAACAAACAAACAGACACACATCAGGGACACCCTCGACGCATATATAAACAGGTGAAAAAAATATTCAACCTGTCCTCCTAATAGCATGTCGCATTTTGACGTATACTCTAAAGCCAAAAATTTTCGTACTAGAAAATGGTAGCGGCTCGCGAAATTGACATAATGTTCCGTTTTCTGTTTTGAGTCCTCGGCAGGTTATGATACTTTAATACGACAGTTTCCTGACTTTAGGAAACCTTAGGAGGACGGGCTGGAATATTATATGCTTATCTAGACGACGGGTGACTGAGGTGAAACATCCTGGACTGGACAAGTGTGCACTTCATACATTTTTAACCTCGTCAGTTACAAAAAAGAGCACTTCATACAATTATAACTTCGACAGGTACACAAAAGAGCCCTTCATACACTCCTAACCTCACCAGATACTGCATTTCATGCATTCTTAACCTCGTCAGTTACACAAGAGAGCCCTTCATACACTCCTAACCTCACCAGATACTGCATTTCATGCATTCTTAACCTCGTCAGTTACACAAGAGAGCCCTTCATACACTCCTAACCTCACCAGATACTGCATTTCATGCATTCTTAACCTCGTCAGTTACACAAGAGAGCCCTTCATACACTCTTAACCTCGTCAGATACACAAGTGACCTGGTACATGCTCCCTGCTAAATACAAACAGGTCTTGGTTCGACCTCTTGTCACATATACTGATGCCAAGAGAGGCGACCTCTGTCTCCTCCGTCACCCCAGACCTAACCTTTATGCGAGATTAGGTGAAAATAGCAAGAGCCTCGTGCATCAGAGCCCCGGGTGGGAAGGGAAACTCTGATGAGCAGCATCACGTGTCGAGATGACAACTTGACTTCATTGGGAGGGGGAAACTCTAGGAACTAAGCAGAACTAATAACCCGTGAGGAATTCTCACTGCAGACTTGTCAGCGACTCTCCTGTCAGTGATAAATCATAAAAAAGAGAGAGAGAAAGCCAGATCTTAGACTGACAATTATAGAATATATCACAGCGTTACAGTAAAGAGTTTCTTAGCAAATCGCTACTCTTGTAAAGGTTTCTAGGGAATCTGGTTTTAACGCTAGAGGTGAAAGTGATGTAAGATTGATAAGTGCTAATATCAGGGGAAGGGTCCAAGTCGTTGTCTGTTATGATTCGTTCGACACAATGTTGGTTCGTTCACCGGAGGGGACTCGCGTTCCCGGACTATTGAAAATATATTGAAACTCCATTTTGGAACTAAACGATTTAGAATAAATAAATTACAAAAGAAAAAGTGATAAAATGAAAAGGTGAATTTAATTTTACCACGGGAGGTGCCGGGGGGGGGGAGGGGACTGAAAACAAAACCCTAACCTAATTTTAGGCCTAATCTTACATGACCTAGGCATCTTATAACTTAATCTTAGCCAAGAATATTAGATGTTAAGTATAGGTTAGGATATATGACGTCTAAGTTAGGCCTCAATAAAATAGGTTATGGTTTAATTTTCGTTTAACCAAACCTCTTAAATTTTCTCGTTTATTTTAGTCTTTGAACGTCCGTTTTTTTTACTAAATTCCAAGTAAAGCTCCAAAATTTAGCTCCAAAACGCCCATATAAGAATATGACTAACACGAGGCATAGCGGGCGTTATTTCTGATTTATGTTTAGACTTGGAGAGCCCCACACTCCCTCAGGACTAACAGTGTCGGTCTTGAGGGAGACGGAATGGATCACGGCTGGAAGTACCTACGCATGGCGTAACTCCCAATATGCACAACGCTCGAGTACCTTTACCAGACGTACGCCGAGAGATGTATGTCTGGCGAAGTAAATTTATACACCGATAAATGTACCCCATTTATCGATGTATGTACACTGAAAGTTTAATTTAGTTCTGGACTATATTCAAGGCTAAAGTATACTTTGCTGGCTGGTTAGTTAGTATTGTGGTGGCCTTAGTAACCCTCCAGAAGACGACTGAATCTAAAAGCGTGAGTGAATGCAGGCGGAATGTGGGAGGGAGGGAATTATCAGCGAAAAGCGCCAAGCGATTGCGACTATGTATCACTTGGAAGAGGTCAGGATAAGGGGATAAAGATTTGGGATGAGACGAGAAGACGGAATAGTGCCCAACCTCTTGAACGGTTGGGGATTGAACGCTGACCTGCTTTGAGCGAGACCGTCGCTCTACCGTCCAGCCCATGTGGTTGGGACGCGGAAGGTGGGAATGTGGCGGGGGGAGGGGGGGGCGAGGCGGGATAAGTGGGCAGAGAGGTGGGTTAAATAACACAGCATAAGGTACATATTATCGAAGTACAGTGTGAGGCGAGTAACGGGTTTGGCGATCTGGGTTGCTGGAAGGTCGTGTGCCAGGACCTGTTTGTGGGGCAAATGTAGGCCAGCGGTTGCTCTCAGGTCTCGCTACCATGTTATTGCAGTTAATTATACTCCGTTAAATATGATGTTTGCGACTCTCTTATGTTCCTTTTATTTTCTAAAATATCTTCGTAAATACTTTCTTCGTGCGTCCATTCTTCCCGAAGCAATTGTATAAATAAATTTTCGGGCAATAGTTGATATTATCTTTGTTTTCCCTTACGTCTTCTGGTCCTGCAGTGTTGTGGGGGATAACTCTGTCTTTATTTTGTCTTGTTATATGAAGTAAGCTTATATTTGACCGGCATATTTCTTATCGTATTCTTGTGTCAACCTCCGAAGCTTCATTTACGACAGACAAATGGAACTGATTATATGTGATGACATTTATCGCGAGATCTGATGTCATGACACTTGACCTCTGTGTTTGTATGATCTTGACCTAAAACGACCCTTTATTTACTGCTCTCGACGCATTTTCTAATTAGCAAATCAATTATTCAACAGTTCTCGGTGTGGACACGGGTTTGACCTATGACCTGTGACGTGTAGTTGTTTATCATGGCCTTACATGCCCAGACGACTGAGGGTTCTGTTATTGTGGTGCGTGTTTGCTATGTGAGCCTGAAGGACCGAGCTGTTAGCTCCTGGACCCCGCCTTTCTATCCTTCAGTTGGTTAATGTACGAACTCCCGACCTATGACTTGGAATATTTCTCTCTCTCACACTTGGGCTGGACGGTAGAGCGACGGTCTCGCTTCATGCAGGTCGGCGTTCAATCCCCGACCGTCCATGCGGTTGGGGCACTATTCCGTCCTCTCATCGCATCCCAAATCCTTATCGTGACTTTTTCCAAGTGCTACATAGTCGTAATAGCTTGGCGCTTTCTCCTGATAGTTCCCTTCCCTCTCTCACACACACACACACACACACACACACATACACACACACACACACACACACACACACACACACACACACACACACTCACACACACATACACACACACACACACACACACACACTCACATATCCCAAGGATGCAGCCCG